CTATGAGAAAAACGACCACTTTTTCGCTTTTTTTTATGCATTTACACGCGTTTTGGGCTGAAAATGCGTGTAAACGCACCATAAGGGCGAAAAATGGGCGTTTTTCGCTCACAGTCAGGAACCCCGATTGTCATCCAAACACGCCCACTTTTTCTAGATTTTTCGTCTTTTTTTGTGCGCTTAAACGTGTTTTCGAAAAAGTTTGTCTGCTTGGGTGAACACCAGACAACGCATTTCCTATTTTTCTTAGTCTTCCACGTCGTTTCTGAAAATTTTGTAATTTTGCTGGGTCTGTTACAATATGATAACCAAGATGCATCATTAAGCCGATAGCATGCTTACATACATATGTTACAAACATATAGACGTATGTCACAAGCGATATCTGTCAGGATAACTTATGTTCATCTCTAATTCTACTATTAAATTTTCTCGCACACAAATCGGGCACATATCTATCTCCGGGCACAAAAGTGTAAAAAGATTTTTTTGTATCCGGACTGGGCACAAAAATCTTAAACGAGCACAAATATGTCTTAATTCTGGGCATAAAAAAATCTTCGTTCATTATTCTTTAGCTGAGCATGATCTATGATATGGGTCCGAAGTTCTTGCTTCTAATCAAATAATGCTGATTGTTTATCGGTTCAGATTATTTTATCATTGAAAGTATTATCATAACGAATCAAATTAGGATTATCATGATGCTTTTTGAAAACTTTATGATGCAATGATCTGTCTACTTTGAAATTTTCACGTTATTCAGTGATAACCTTGTATAAATCAAATCCTCATGCCTACTGGGAATTCTAAGTGGTGTGATCATTCAGTTTTCCTTATAAGCTCAACTATATTTAGAATTAACTGAACAATTTGTGGAATCTTTAAATAATGTGTGTATACCGTTTGGCATGAAATTAGAATATCCAGAAATGTAAGTCAGACAAAGACATGTAATCTGCTCCTGTCGTATCAAATCTAGAAGTTTATCACCACGTAATGCATTCAAATTTGAAAAGAAAAATTATAAAATAATAACATCGAGCTCTATGAAAAAAGAATTTAGTAGGTCCAAGAGAGTCTATTGAGCATTAAAGATTTTTGAGCCTGATAATCAGGCAAAGCGGAAACTCTCTTCTTATTATAGGAAGGAAACACTGAGATGTTTGACCTATTTTTGTTTGTACAGGATTCAGTTACAAAACGATCGTCCTGAAACATATATGGGAGTGTTAAAAAATAAAGTACAGAGAAATACCGATTTAGCCGTTTGTATGTTACCAAATAATCGAAAAGACCGATATGATGCGTTGAAAAAATATTTGTGTTTGGATGTACCCGTTCCATCACAAGTACGTTTAATATTAAATTATAACTATTCATTTCAAATTACAATTATGTTTATCTGATTATTTTTATAGATGGTGTTATCCAAAACAGTTGCCAAACGTGGTCAACTAATGTCTGTGGCCACTAAAATTGGTATTCAAATCAACGCAAAACTGGGTGGTGAAATATGGTCGGTAACGATTCCGGTAAGAAGAGCAAAAATTTTATAAGTGCTCTGTTTTATACCGATTCTGTTTTACATTACTTTTTAGTCTAAAACAATGATAATCATTGGTTTGGATACATATAAAGATTCGAAACAACGAAACTCACGCGTATCAGCATTTGTCGCATCAACAAATCCAACATGTACAAGATTTTATTCAAGAATTATTTATGAAAATACACCTGAACAATTATTTAATGGAATTGTTGAATGTATGCATGGTAAGTCATTATGATTGAATTCTAATTGAAAAAAGACTTTTCTCTTTGAAGTTAACTGATACTACTGCCTCATTTTCCTTATTTATCAATAAATGGTTCTGCTATTGATACTGGTCAACAATAATTGATGTTTCTGTGTCTTCTTACTAGCTTCATTAAAAGAATTCCATCGTAGCAACGGTTCTTTACCCGAGAAAATTATTATGTATCGTGATAATATTACTGATGATCAGTTGACGAATTTTATTCATAATGTAAGTGGTATATTTTATTCTTCAACAACATGCATTATTTATACATAATTTGCAGGAATTACCGCAAATTATAAGCACATTTTCAAAGATATCGATTAACTATGAGTAAGTGAGAGTTTTTTCATACTCTTCTGCACTATTTGAATCATTATATGTTTTGTTTGTAGACCCTCAGTTGCTGTAATTATTGTTAAAAAGCGCGGTACCACTCGTTTTTTCGCTCGCACACGAGACGATCGATTGACAAATCCACCGTAAATATTCATATCTTTCAGTAAAATTTCCTTGAACATGTTAGACATGCTATTTAAATTCTTTAGACCTGGAACTATTATCGACTCTACAGTTACAAATCAAAATTGGTTCGATTTTTATTTAATTTCTCAATGTGCTCGACAGGGTACAGTTGCACCAACACATTACAATGTTGTTTGGAATAGTACAAATCTTAAAGCCGAACATTTTCAACGTTTAACATTTAAATTATGTCACTTGTATTATAATTGGCCAGTAAGTCCTCATGTTTTTGGTTTCTTTCATTTCTCTTTTTGACGCAATTCAGATCACAGAAGAAATTTATCAATGGAAGTTTATAGGATAGATATCCATGAGTAATCTAAGAATTAATATCTATCTTTCCTCCGCCTATTCTATCCTATTCTTCTTGAAATCTCGGATTTTGTGTCTTAGATGGGTTCCTTTTGCCATTGACAACAAAAAATACTCTGACTGAGATGTAGCAAGAAATATGAAGGATGTCAAAGACCTTAGTTTCATTGAGGCAATGTCATAATAGTTTTGCTATATGTAGAAATCAGGGTTTCAACACTGCTAAGCTGATGTGTATAAAAAAAGATTATCTTTGAATAGATAGTTGAGCTAATTTGACTCTTAATGATTTTTGAGGATACATTAGAAACCAATTCAGCTTAATATGACACTGACGCTTGTGGCATCTATAAATCTGAGATAAGATAATTTTGAAATTTATAAATTCTTCTGTGTTTAGGGTACAATTCGTATTCCTGCTGTTTGTCAATATGCATTCAAACTGGCATTTTTGGTATCGCAATCATTACACGAAGATTTCGATTATTCTTTAGCAGATAAATTATTTTATTTATAAAAAAACAAATTTTCTTTCTACTCAACGAATACAGGTTCTCTCCGTTTTTTAATAAAATCAAGCTTTTGTTCATTATCCTTTTCTGTTCTATTCTTTTTTCTCTTACATGTATTTTACACATTTATGCAGTGTGTATAGACAGTGATAGTCTGGGCATCTTTTTTGTGTGTTTAAATACTTTTTCTTCTCTATTTTTTCAATGTCAGTAAAATTGTGTATGCGGAAATAAAAAATTACCGTAAAAAAAGCAAAGTACTAACGACAAGTGGATCCAAAAGTCTATGCAAATCAAAAAAGTTTTCATATGATTTAAACATTTTAATTAATTCTTCACATTCTATTCATTCGAGTACAGTCGATAAACAAGATATCTAAATATCTCAGTAATGCTGATAATTCCAACAAAGTATGTGTCGTTTTATAACGGAAATATTCAGAGAATTCAAAATCATTGACATAATGTAATGGATATTTATCAAGATCGATAATGATCATATTCTATTTAAGTCACATTTAGCAATGTCTCATTGGTCATATTCAGTATCGACGATGTTAACGATTGTGGGTTGATACAATGAACATTCGAAAATAATTCTAGTACAGTCAAGTCAGTATCAATTTTAAATTCTCTGGACATTTCTATTATAAAATGCTGCGCATGCTTTGTTGAAATTATAAGCATTACTGAGATATTTAGATATCTTGTTTATCCACTGTACTCGAATGAATAACATGTGAAAAATTAATCAAAATGTTTGAAAATGTAGTAAAATTAAATTTATCTATTTGTCAAACGATAGAAATTGAACAGTATGTGGCTGCTTGAAAAATTTAAAAAAGTTTATTTTGATTAAAGATATAGATTGTAATTGGTATCTTAACGCATCATTATTAGTTTGTTGTCATTTTAATCGTTTTCAATGTTTCTTATTAACCAGCACCATCATTTGATTTTTGTAGCATTTTTTTTAAATTTCTGCTCTTTGTCGAATATTATAAATCCATGAAGAAATCCGGTTGACTTAACCAAAACTGTTTCGCAGCAAAAGTCCAGTTTTCATTTCTTACTTCTCTCGTTTCTCGTTCCTTTCTACGAGCGAAACAGACACTTAAAATTTTCCTCTTCAGAGTATTCATTTTAACGAACCAGAGCAGACATGTGAGTTGTTTAACCTACCGACATTTTTGGCACATAGATAGAATCAGTTTTGTATCATTTAGGAAAAGACAGTCAATATCAAGACGTTAAACACTTGATTTAAAAAGCTAAGAAGAAGCAATATTTTTATACGCTTTTTGATCAAGAAATGTTTTTTAATATTTCGTATCTCAAGATCATGAGTGAAAGATTTTGTGCTCTTCTTCATCTAGGAAGGAAATACAGTTTACGTTTTTGACCTTTCTTGAGCTGAAAACCTTGACAAAAATGCAACGAAACCTTCACTAATACATCTTGCATTCTGTCATTTATTTTATCTACAAATCATTGCAAGTTCTAATTCGTTCGGTTTTAAATGTAATATATTTATTGACAATAATTTCTTTCTCTTGTTTTTGTTTAAGAATAAAATTAATTTCATTCTCATAAATCTCCGTATGATAGAACAATGAACATTGTAAAAGAAGTTTTCTCAATTGTTTACCTTCATATTTTAGCTTTGTATTTTTATCTCTCAAAATATAATAATCAAAATTGACAGCACCCACTCTTGAATTAAACAAATTTAAATGTTTTTCAGTTGAATCTATATCATCCATAATTCTATAATCATTACTGTCAAATTTGCATTCATATCGTTTTCCAATATTGATTAATTTCGTGTTTAGTTGTGAACTTTCATAGAATGAACATACGCGAATTATATTCAAAATCTTTTTTACTTTAGTTGATAATCGATTGAGACATGCAATCTTTTCAAATTGTAATAAAATAGAGTTTTTTAACTTTTTTCCCAAATTTTGTTCATAATCACGCCAATATTTTTGTTCAGCCAAACGATGATGCAACAACATCTGTTGAAAATTCATTGAAATTGATGGTTGAACAGAGGTTTTTAGTTGTAATGAAAGTAGTTGGATGTTACTGGCATGTTTGAGTATGAACTGACTAAAAATGTGAGAATAAGATTAGATAGATAAATGATCTTTAAAGTGATCTTTAACACTCTCAGTTGGAGTTCAGGTATTATCTTTTTTAGTAAGTAGTAGAGCGAGGAGATTGCGCTTTACCGTAAATATTGTTTATTCGTCATCACTGTATAAAGTGGTAAGGACAATTTTCTTGTTGGATCATAGTATATGTTTATCTGTTTTCTACCGACTTCTTTCAATTTGTCTTTAATTTTTTCAATATTTACTTCAATTTGCTTCGTTTGTCTTGCATATTTTTCTATCAACACTTCTTTTTGGATGATTTTATGAATTTCTTGTTTCATTTCTGCTTGATGACGTCGATACGTCTCATCTTGTACGAGTATTCTGAAACTCTTTGATGATAACGAATATTTAATCCATTCTTCTACTTTTAAATAATAAGACATTATCTTTTGACGATATTCACGATCGAAACTTTTTCTTAACCGTTTACGTTCGACTTCATGTGTATCTTGAGATATCGTATAGAACGATTCGATTCTACTAGAAAGAGAGTCAAATTTAACCGTGCTACTAATAGAAAGATGACAAGCCACAACAACAAAGAGAATTCAATGATTTCGATTTGTTGTCAAACTTTGAGGCTAAATTAAAAAAGCTTTGGACTGTTGTATCGGAATTTCCAGACGACGTTAATCAATCAATTAATTTTATTTTCTAGCCATGATGTTGGAAGGTACCGAGGAAATGACAAAAAAGTTAAATAAAAACTTTCACGACGTCGTACCATAAATTAGTAAGAAAAAGAGAAATTAGGTTTGAACAATGGAGTTATGAAAAGAAAAAAATTAACAATTAATAAATATCGACATCTTCTGAAAAAAGATAATTACGAAGTGCACGTCTGAAGACTCGTATGGGGAAGGTAGCAGTTATTTCTCTAGGTAGCTAATTTCACTCTACTATAGTTTTGGGAAGGAACGATGAATTTGTAGTTTTTCTTTTAAATTTTGGTACCTCCCACAGGCAGCGATTTGAAGTTTCGGCAGAAGTTCGAGTAGCCAACGCCTTTACTAAAGATAAATGAGAGAGAGCACTGTATCCAGTAATAAGTTTATGAAAAAACATTAATCTAAAGTATTTACGTCAAGTAACTAAATTAGGCAGTTTTAGTACTTGAATATGACAATAGTTACTATAGAACAATAATCATTAGTAATCATATGTGCAGCAAGTTTATGAACAGATGTCAGTAATTCGAGGTGTGTTTTGAAGTTGTTATCAAAAACTGCACTGCAATAATCAAGAACAGATAATATACACGTTTTACAGATGGAAAGCCGTATAAATTGTGGTGCGCATTTAAAAGTTCTATTTAAAGCTCCTCCTCCAAGACGTACAAGATCTTGTTGAGAGGAAAATGTGTTAAGAAAATTAAAAAGAATATCTTAGTAAATATCAAAACTCTTTTCGATCTGCTCTTTCTCTACAAGACACTTACCCAATATCTGCTTCTAATTGTTTCATAATTAAATTTTGCCTACGATAAATCGTATTTTTTTCTTCTTGAAATTCTCGATTTAGACACAAATAACATTGCTGATAATCGGTATATAATTTTTTGTTAAATTGTTTCGATAATTGTACCCAATATATTTGAAATTGATCAAAACGTAACAATAAACTATTTTTTAGTTCAGTATGATCATCGGGTGCATAACGAAGTAGCGAAATTCGATTAAGCTCATTTAATTTTTTATTAAAGTCATATCGAATAGTATCTAAATCTGTATGTAATTTTTCTTGGATGAAAGTTTTTATACTTGAATTTTTCCGTGAAGTTGTTAACAATTGACCGGAAACAGCATTCTTTTGTTCAATTTCAATACTACGGTTAAGGTACAATCTATACAAATTTGCATCATTGAACAGAAGAACTTTTTTTTTGGTTTTCTTGGCTTTTTTACGATGTTTGTGATTCATGCGAGGGAGTTTTTCGAAATATTTGTAATTTTTAGTCCAGCATATACGTAACAAAAACGTGTATGTATAATTGAATTTGCTATTGCCAGGAGAAGTAATAGAATTATTTCCAATAGTGAAATATCATTTTTTCAGAAGATTTTGACCGAAATAATAGTTTTCGATAGATTTTTAGTCACTCAGGGCCTTTATTGCACATAGTCAAAAGTTAAATCTATTAGGAAAGATGTAGCTAGACTCAAAAAATTAAAATTTTCCAGCATACCAATCCTTCCTATGCGATATACTCATAGGTTATTTTATTACTTGATAAAACGACGCTGAGTAAGGGCAGTTAAGCAGCATTTATAGCATAGAAATGGTCAACGAATTTAACTTTATCCTCGAATTGCACAGAGCCCAAGACATGGCACCACTTATCAGGCTGACTCATCAAGTTTAGACTTAAATTCTGTTCACCTATATTCGCCGACTTTAACCCTCTGAGTCCCAATTTTCTGGCGAATCAAATTTTGTGCAACATGGTATAAACTACATAAGAAGGCAAGCATAGTGTTACGTTTCCAAATATAACCCTGAATAGTTTCTGTCACTTTATTTATCACTAACTAATAATCCGAACAATCACCCAAAAAACAGTAAAAAACACAACTATTTATATATAAAATTTACAGGTAGTTGAACATACGAGAAACAGATGAAAGAGACTAATGACCTCAGTAATCATGACAGAACATGACGTAAGAAGAATAGAAAAGAACATGAGAGGCACATAGATCAGGAAGGGTAAATAACAGACACATGACGGACATATGATAACATATGATGTCAGAAGGTCAAAGAATAGTCATATTTCTAAACATATGCAAAATCTATTTAGAGAAGTTCACGCCATTTATTTATTAGCGTAAAAAAGACACTTCAGATTGAAAGAAAAGTCTTCATTGTATTATTATTCCTCAGCTGCTGCAGCCACATGATGCACATCATAATCATTCGCGGTCAGCGACTTCACAAGTGCCTCGGCTTGGATGATTTGTTCGTGGGTCTGGTTAACTTTTTCTAGAAACCTTTGGCGTTCCACACTGTTTGCTCGATGGAAAAGTTTTTGGGCCCAACCAAAGTATTGCAGAGCTTCTCGGGCAGTAGGCAAGGTTCTTTGAGTAAGTTTTGCATTTCCGTTCACAATGAATTGATCGCCAATATCTCGGCAAAGGCAAGCCAAGAGTTGTGGCTCCGTATTGAACATTTGAATATAACCCGGGAAGTAGTGGGCCCATTGTTGATACTCCATATGCAAACAGAAGCAGTATATAAAATTATATGGGTTTCTGTTTGTATCTTGGAACACTTGAGGGCAATAGGTCATAAGGCAGGGAAGAATTATGCGACCGAGTCTACCGGACACAATCAAGAAAATGCGTTTGTCTGTATTACAGAGAATGAACTTCAAGCAGGTCCAGACATCGGTAAACGGCTGTAAGTGGATGGTGACACCTTCGAAATTGACAGTTACGCGATCAGCGTTTCGGAGCGAATTGTCGATGTCTGTATCGGTTAAACTGACTGTATTGCCACTCACAGGCTCTGTAGTCGTGAAGAATGCGCGCTTGAGCTGAAGACAGCGGTCAGGTTGGCCGATATGGTCATCGAGCCACACGAGTAAATGGTGGTCGAGATTTTGCTGTCCGATTGCCTCATCGTTAGTTGCCATCGTTTAAATCTGGAATCAGTCACTAGAAATGTACTGCGTTATTTCCTCGGGAAAAATAACCAGGTTATATCCATGGCGTTTCTACGAAAGAGTGGAAATTCTGTATCGTCTTGGATACCGTATTTGAAAAGAAGGCGAGGACTTATTAAATAAAGTTTGTAGAAAGTCATACTTGAAAAAACGGTTTTGGAGTCACAAGTCGACGCGCGCTGATCTATACTTCAATCATGTCTTTTTGCTTGTTGATACAAAATCGGACACAATATTCAAAATTTTCGTAAAATGCAAGTGCAAAAGATGTCTTCGATCTCATGTAACTTTGGAATATCGATTTTATTTGGAAAAAAAGGAGTTTTCACTCAAAGCCAATTTTCCGGTTTTTCGCCACAGAAGGTTTTTGAATAGGTGAAGCATCTATAGTCTGAATCAGC